GATAGTGACGTTTGACGAATATGCGACCAGTGCTCTGAAGCGGTGTTCAGTTGACATCTACTCAGCCCAGATGCCAGCGTAGTTTGATACGCATTCAGAACACCTGGCTTCGCCAGCTGGCTGGTGTCAATGCGCTCACAGCGACGTAGCCGACGTCCGCCGAAACGCACCTGGAGGTCGGCGCACAGGAGAGCGTGACCAGAATCCACGCTGGTGCTCCAAATCGAGTGACAGTTTTGGACACCGCCTCTCCATCGGCAACTAATCACGATGTGATCGATTTGCGTCTATGGCTGGCACGAGGTTGGTGGGCGCCAATCACTTTTCTGCGGATGCAATGTAGAAAGTTAGTGCTCGCGAGAAAGAGACGAATACCTTCACACAGGTGTAGCAACCGCTAACCGTTATCATTACGGGAGGCTACATCATGTTGGCCGCCCAGATGAAGCTCATCAGAGGACAATTTTCCGACTTGGGCGTTTAGATCGCCAGCAAGCACCACAGTATCCGTGCTCCTTCTGTAACAAAGATCGTTAAGTTGGTGATAGAAATCATCTTTCATCTAATCAAGACTGCAGTTTGTGACGGCGTAAGCCACAAGGACAAACAGGCACCGTTTGTCCCCGAGCGACTTCGAAGCCTGGAACGAGCCAGCCAACCTAACGGCGCGCATCCGGCTATTGACAGGGATCCAGTCGATCAGGGCAACTTCAGCCTGGGGAATCAAAACAATGCCGACGCCAGCTTGACCGGTATTTGAAGCTGCGTCATCACCAGACGGACGCAATGAGAACGTGACGCCAGTGTCGCATGTGGGGGATCGCAGGGTAACCACGGAGCTCGAAGTTTGCAGGCGGGTTTCTGATAAACAGCAAATATCGATCGATAGGGTCTCTAGTGTGCGGGCAAGTGCTGCCTGTTGGCCAATCTGTAGCAAAGGTATGCCAGTCTTAGTGAAACGTGATGAGTCCAAAGGGAAACGGATGAACTGATGTTGTCCGCTTGATTGAACATGGACTTGTCGACTGGATTGGAGCGACGACTTGCGACTGTGTGTGAGTTGAAATTCGACAAGCGACTATTCAAGTATGGTGGGGGAGTGTCAAGAATTAGAGGGTTGAAAACGAGGGATGAAAATGAAGTTGGAACGGGACGCTAAGGATGAGGGAGAATAAGAAGACGGGAAGGTTTGAGCAGTAGCACCAAAACCCCTGTCTACCCTGCACGATGCAGCAGATAAGGCACCGTTTATGATGCTCCGCGACGGCCAAAGCATCAAGAGATTGTTATAAGGAAAGGTCATGGTGTATTGCGTGGTCAGGATACTGTCAGGTTGCTCAGGCCTAGACAGGAGAACGATTACGGTTCTTATCCAAAATCTTTGGTTCAAAAACCTTACCGCAAGGCAACGGGTTTTAGCATTAGACTACAGAAAGCCCGTTTTATGGAGTAAGGAGCTAGGCCAGTTGATGTTGATTATGCGGACGATATCACCTTGCTGTTTAACGAGGTTGGGGCAGCGCAATCAACCTGAATAGCCTCTCTAGAGTAGTCCCATTATTTAGTATACGCTTCGCACATTCAAGGTGCCATGTTTTGCTGCAGGACCACTAGCCACTTGGTGATCCCTTGGCCCCTGATGGCGAGGAACTTGAGGTGGTTGATCAATTCACTTACGTTAGCAGCCGTATCAGCAACGATCGGCGCATAACCAGGGAAGTCAGTTAACGCATTGCTAAAGCCAGAACTGTTTTATTGAACCTGCGACGTCTTTAACGACAGTAAGGAGTTTCCCTCCGTCTGAAAGGCCGTGTTTACAAGGCCACAGTGAGGGCCGTCCTACTCTATGGGAGTGAGGCTTGCGCGCTTCGGTCTGAGGTGCCATCAAGTCTTTGATCATCGCTGTCTGTGGTTCAATGCTAGTGTCGGGTGGCACGAGCGTGTCTGTAATGATGGTGTGTTTAGGCGAGTGCTAGGCAGTGATAACACTGAACAAGTTGCGTTGCTTTGGGCACGTACTACGTATGTCTGGTCATCGCTCACTGAGGAGGACCTTGTTTTGGCTGCCAGATGTAGGGTGGTGCAAGTTTCGAGGTGGACAAAAGTTGACTTTTCAGCGGGAAATGAAGTCATTGACGTACGAACTCAGTACTATTAGCACATTCCACCTTCCAGGCCGGAGTCCAGGTGACTCACCTTGTGCTTGGCCCGAGAAAACACAGGACATGGCTCGCTGCCGAACCAGTAGCGTGTCTGCTGTCGTCTCTCAGTCGGCCTGACTGTTTAAAGTGTGTCTGGTGCCGAGTTATCTGCGGTGATGCGGGCAGTGAAAGCCAAAGGAAGCTGTCTAGCCGATGCCGCCTTATCTTTGCATGATAGCCAGTTGTTAGTGAGTGTATGCTGTGGACAAGGTGTAGACGCCTTGACCCTGAATGCTTGCTTTGGGAATTAAGGTTTTTCGGTAAGTCTTGCTTCTCTCCTTCTTATTATTTTTCGATCCGTAGTTCGCCGCGAAGCATCAGTTCAAATGTCTGATGTACAGCCGTTGTGGATGATGATGATGGGTTTCTGAACCTTCCTCGATTCGGAGCGAGGACCATAGTGTGTGGAATAACCATCCTTATGTTGCTGTTTACCGACGACTGTGCGTTGTTTGCATACAGTGCGGATGTGTTGCAGCACATAACTTCGGCTCTTGCTTCGACAGAGACCAAATCCGGACTCATCGGCAACACAAGCAGGAATGTCTTTATCCGCTTCCTCCACAAGTGGAATCTGTGGCCCTGCGGCAAATCCACCTTGACGGCGCCTTGGTATTCATTTCGGAACGTTGCTGTCTAGGCAGCGTAATGTCTGCACAACTGCAGATGACTGTGCATGCGCGTATTGCAGGCGGCTGCCGCATTTGACAAGCTGTAAAAATGTGTGTGAAACAACCAACATCCCACTTTTGATACGAGTCTATAATGCGCTCCGTTTTTCTATACGGCAGTGAAAATTGGACGCTATCGGAAAGATGTCCGTTATCTGGAGCTCTTCCATGAACAGTCAGCGTTGTATTCTGCGCATCGGCTGTGGTGACCGAGTTGCAGACACGCTTTCACTGCCGTGCAACGGCAATGTAAAAAGGTACTGTGAATTGTAGCAAGAGTTTCACCCTAGAATTCCTGGTCGAAAGTGAAAACCAAAGTAAGACTGTCGATGTTTGTAGGTTGTGCCAAAACGGTACTCGAATGGGCCTAGGAAACGAATCTTACGGACACCCGAAGCCATTGCGATCAAGTTAACACAATCTGAGCTATGCAAACAAGAGACGCGTGTGCAAGCCTTCCTTCTACCCCGGGATTAATGTACTTCCACACGGCTTTCAATCCGCTGTACTCTCGTTTCTGTTGTCTGAAAAGTTGGACCGATTTAGCGATTAAGACCGTTTTTGCCTCAGTCTGATGAAAAATATCTGTATCGCGCTCTACCAGCCTATTGAGTTCTAACATTTCATTTTACAATGGTCAACGCATGATGAGATTTCTCGGAGAGAGTACTCTGTGCAACCTTGTGTTCATACTGTTGTATTATGTAGCCCTGAAAGACGATCCGGGGAAATTCACTTCCATTCTAACATTCCTACTTCTGGCAACAAGGGTTTTCTATATTCTTCACGATAGGCTGAATTCGCCGGGAGTACTTACAACTAAACATCCTCCTCAAGTTTGCGGTCTGAATGATTATGATTCTAGTCTCATGCTTCTTCTGGAGTGCGTGTCCTACCGAAGGACCGACTGACAAGCCTAGAGCACAGGGACGAAATAGAAATCCTTACTTCTGACCTAGCCTCAGTAAATGCGCTTACGGATAGGGTAACGCAGAGCAGTGTCCGGTTCAGCATGTGCCACGCAGCTTCTAAGTTCAAAAGACCATTTCGGGATTGAGCTAGTATGCTTCCTGTTCTAACTACAACCGAACAACCACTCGAGAAAGTCAGCTGATTCAAAAAGCTGGGCAGTTTTATCAGCTCTGTTGGTCATATCACTGAAGGTATTACAAGTGTCAGCGAACTTCACGTGTCTTTTAAGTGTTTTAAACATCCCTGGAGTGAACGGAGTTGTTAGAAGGCCGGCTTTACTGCATATAGTATAGGCATGACCACTATGCGACGAAAACATCAAGAAACTGCTTGCCGCTGATCACCGGTGCTTGCGAAAGCACCGAGTTAACAACACTGATGTCCACCGGCTAGTATTTGGAAAGAAACTCACTAGTGCCGCACTGCAGTGTTGACCAAACTGGAACAGCTCACGCTAACAAGATGGTGTCCTCCCGCTTCATTAAGCTTGCATTATATCCTGTAGCTGTACCTAAGTTGGGCGAAACCATGATGTGGCTAATGAAAGAAATTGCGGAAAGAAATCGATTACGAGGCGGATACACGCCATGTTTAGATGGTGGCACAGGAGAGATCAAATCAGCTGCTACTGACCTGATGAGACGCGATGTAGTCGTGGAGTTAATGTTGTTCTCACATTTCGTCCCCAGGTCCTGTTGTTACCATCCCCACACTATAAAGTTTAGTTTCCTTTTATCAGTATGCTCTTTCATTGCATTATGCTTCGCAGATTGTCTCAATTTCCCTACCACTGTTAGTTACTACAATCATAAAAACCCTGTGTTTGAATCAGTAGCATGTGATTGCAATGAACTAAATCGAGCTACCGCAGATGAACGGGTTGTGTTCAGTAACTGAAAGGCAACATATTCTTTAAAAGGAACTAGTGAGTCCATGCCGGGTCTCATTGTGCCAGAGAGCGATAAATTGACGAGAAAGTAGGACATTCGCATCAAGCCTGTACACGATTACCGTGATGAGAAAACGAGTGGCGTCGAGTAGAATTAACCGCCCATTGCCGTGCATCGTGTGACATGGCAGTACGAAAAGCATATAGGCAGGGTCTTGCACTGAACAAAGAGGTACATACGAATAATAACAAAAGTAACGCGCTCACCTTCATACTGGGCAGAAAAACGCAGCGTTCGTGGAACCAATCGCGACAAAGCTCACATTGGACCATAAAACCGGAAAAACCGGGTTTTCGGCAGATACAATAAGTGACGGTTCGCTGGTTTTTTAACCTCGATTTAAGCATATTGGAACGACGTAGACGATGCATTGAGGTGGACTCCGCTGTCATGAGTTGACGATACATTGCATCATAAAGTACAGTAGGATCCGTGCAAGAAACAACGGCTTTCGCAAACATCTGTAAAGCAAATGATGAACAGCAGAACTGGAGCGTGTAGGTTAAGATGGGTTCAATGACGGAGAAGTTTGTAAAAGTACTGTCAAAGACGCTAGTTACATTCAGAGTCTTAGGGATAAGGAACAGGGTGGCGATGTTCGCAAGATATCCGAGAAAGAGACTACCTTAACTGCTCTCTGTGCACATTCAGTGATTAATGGACGAAGTTCACATAGCAGGTGTGTGTGTGTACTGTGGTCTACGCAGAACTGCGTTCCATCAGCGTACGAACGTACCCTAATCATGTGAGGATAGACGCCGTTCGCCGGCTCCGTCAGATTCACATACAACAGAAAATAGTGAGCACTGTTCAATCGAATAAAATGAAGTACCCCGTAAGAGACAAATGAGCAAAGGGCACGCGTATAGTACAGAAATTTTCTGGATGTATTTCAAGCGCCATAGTAAAATAAGACAAAGGTAGTACGCTTATACGTCTTACCAAGGACTCGCTGTCACGCAACCGCCACCAGTCGCGTGAGGTTTGGCGACACAGCTTACACAGGCTTTAAATTACAATAAAACTCCCAAACCACTCGGAAACTGGTCAGCTCAAACGCTCTAGTACTTCGAAATCACTTGGAGAACCTAATTAACAAATATTTCATAGTTGTGATCAATGTGGCTGATTTGGTAACGGATATTTTTATCGCAGTGAACCTGTCTCGCATGGAGGGAAGAAATTCAATTACCTTTGCATTCTCCAAACAGAAAGAAGCATAAGCAGCCATGCCTGCGGTGGCGAGACGTGAGCTTCGTCTTGAAGAAGACCCAGCAATGAAGGAATCGATGTCTTTTCCGGAGTCTAAGCAAACTAACAAATCCAGGGACCGATTGCTCCTTGGTAACAAGATTTCGAGTAAACTTAACTTCGAGTTCGGCCACAAAAACAGACGTTCCATTCGATTGCGACATTCATCAATGTATTTGATCTGAAACGAACAGAAGAAGTTAATCCAAATACTGTCATTGCAATAAATTAGTGCACAAATGGAAAGCAAGCGTCGAAGAAGATCGCTTAATGTACTGCTTAGTAGCAGCAGAGGGATAGAAAGCACATTAAATTATGACGCTACTGATTAGTAGTGAGATCAAACCACAAATCGCACGACTCACCAAAGTACGAACGCGAGCGATTTGCGGACAATAGATTGGTAGATTTTCTTTCTGCTCCAACAGTTCATCGACATATGATTTCCAAGTAGTCGGCACACAGTCCACAGTTCCTAATGCCAGGCGCTCGCATAAGTCACTGTTGAATATTTGCTGATCAATTGATGGGATAGCATGACTAGGGGGAATCTTCACTAGAAGCTTTTCAATCATCTCCAATTGGCTGGCGACCGTTTGGGCTTGAGTGCACATCTTTCGGACTTCTTCAGCAATTGGTAAGGCAGCCGGTAAATTCTCCGTTTGCCTAAGTTGTTCCAACGCTTCCTCCAATAAAACGCTACCGGGACTTCAAATGTTACCAAAAACAAAAACAGATGATGGACATTGACGTGACTGAGTAGCGAAATCAAAAGTGGTGAGTTTATTAGTTGAGTTTATTCTTCTAACATAATTAAAACTAACGTGACCCAGCTAACTCGGTACGCCGTGCGCCATCAGGCCGGGAAAAATGCAATGTAAATGACAGCGATCACCGGAAAACTGGGTCGGCTAGATTCGCATTGTGAACTAGGAACATAGAATTGGTTGCGGTGAATAGGATGCGTGTGGAGATTGTCGATAAGATACCGGAAGATGGAGATTAGCTCAAACTATACAAATGAAAGCTATCGCAAATGAACCAGCAGCCGTTAGAGGATCCGAATGGCAAGTGGAATATAACCGACATCAACGGGGATACCACCGTAGTTGTCGTTAAAATGCGAGGGTCAATGGAGAATGTATGGTTGCACGATAAACAAACTGTAACGAAAAAGAAGCAGTTAAAATAGAATGAACGACGGGTCGCAAACTTCCAATTTCAGCGCTAACCAATCAAAGGAAAGCAGATGTCTGAAGGTTTGCACACTGACGAAAAACAACCATTCCCTATGCTTGGTGGCATATTTCGGACTGAGTTTTAACGTAGAACTTGCCCACTCTAAGTTCAGGATTGTATGGCAGTCAAACAGCACATAACACGCTCTTCTTTCGCCAAGACCTATGAAAGGTGTGATACAGTGCAGTACAACTCATGTCCGAGTTCAAGCATTGTGATAAGAGCGAGGTAGTGATGAGAGAAAAACGATCCACGGTCCACGGATGAACTCACCTTGCCTTTTTTATGCGTAGCAATTTCTCTTCCGCATCTTTTGTGACTTGAATGACATTCAGCAACCGCAAGCTGATACGCATTAACGTATGATCTAACCGATTTCGAGGAATATTTGGTATCCGCCGCATGCAGCCCCCTAATTCAGGAGATTCTATCTTTATGCCCAGATAAGCAATGTTGGATGACAAGAAATCACCCTGTAATTGCAAAGTACACAAATCATCCAATGATGGTCTACTGTGTTGAAGCGGTTGGGAAACGCTGCCAGCAGTTGTAGAGATGGAACGGGATTCAAGTGCATTTTGAACAAGTGTGCACCAGGACAAACATTCGTAAATCTGAAAAGGACGAAGAAAATGGACAAGACTATGAAGTAGATCAAAGCCACATTAGTGTAGGGGCAACACCAGTGTACACGAAGAATGTTTCGGTTTAAGAGTATGTATCCCACTATTTATTGATAAGGGATGTTAAAAGTAAATAGGGAAGGGTATATGTGGGTTAGCAATTGGAAAGATATAATTATGCGTTAACGGACAGCCTGCTGCTGCGCCGGGATCTAGACAATATGCCCCATAGAAACCTTGAAAGCGCGACTCCATGTTGCTGACTGATGGACTACAATTAGTCGGTTTTATATATTTCCGGCCTCGGTGCGATAAAGCCGTTTGAAGCGGCACTAATAGCTTTGCAAGAAGTTCCCATTTCCAGCATGCTTGAGGTGAGTGAACGGTGAGTGAAGAGTAACTTCATGTTAACTAGAGAAGAATGCCCAAGACAGGTCTCAGTGCGCAAAACAACGTCTGAGTAGCATAAACTTCATGAAGTATTCAACATCTAGCCAATACAAAACTGCACACATGGAAACATTGGACAATCTGTTTCTGATTGATGACTGGGCTTCTAGCTACTTCCGTGGACGGAGGAACTGTAGAACAACGCCGGCGCATGGATATGTGGAGCAATATGCTCAGTGGTCTGATTCTCATAGGTACAATAAGTGGCAAATGAACTGATCATTCACTTCGACTGATAACTTAGTGAGAAGCTGTGACATGTCATGACAGTACCAGGCGAGTTGAAGATGTGGAGCGCAGAGTGAATCGAGTAGCGCGCTGAATTGGAGGAGGATGGCTGAAATCCCAGGAGAGCCACAGCGCCTACGTCGTCTGTCAACAGATAAATTTTTCATTATGACAGTATTAGAATAATCTATCATGATTACATCTATCATACGGTTGTCGAAAAAGGCACAAAATATGCTAACAAAATACCACACATGTCGTATTGGTCTAGAGATTAATTACATGGCAGTGGAAGATGTTATAAGTGCTGTCGCGGAGCTCGCAAAGCTCCGGGAAACTTGTGCAGACTTCGTCTGAGCTCGCCCAAGGAATAATGTCACCATGCCCAGATCACAGCTGGGCTTCCGTCAAGGACACCAAGGTTGTGTCAACACAAACCACGCAGATTACACCTGACATCTCCGTAACGACACTGCCGCATCTAGAGTCCAAAGAAACAATGACCTCAAGTGAGTTTTCCTCAGGACATTTGCACGTAGTGGAAACCCATGTCCTACCAGACATTAGGCTTCCTCTATGCTTTAAGAATTATGCTGTTATACCCTTGAGTTAGAAATAATAAAGTGTGGAAGGTATGCTCGCCATTGGTTGGGTCAGTAAACGTATTTTAGACATCGGTCAGCTTTTGGTTACTGGGTCTCAGTGAAATTATTTGACATTACGCTTCGCGTCTCTAGTTTCAACATGTGTGTACACAAGTCTGACAGTTAGGTCTCTCCGGCCTTATCGACCCGAATTAACTACTCCGAGCGTGGGGTACTGTCGGGAAGAGCATTTCGTCTTAGAGATCGAAAAAAAACTAGGACGTTCGTGACAAATGAACACTTCATCGAGGCAAAAACTTGTTCACTCTTTACAGATTCCATTCATACATGAAACCGAGGACCAATGGAATAGAACATACTTGAGAACAGAGGATGATACAATTAGGACGCCAATGCTAGTGTGATAGTCATGTGTTACCCTACGGTCATTTGTAAAAAACGGTAAGATGGCTGATAACCACCATCCTAGGGGCTCAAGTTACATGCACCGGACAACGCTGATCAACAATGAGTCAAGCATATCCTTTAGTGTCCTGGCAAGCTTCGAGGGAACTTGTTGGTATCAAATTCACTGAAAATGAGAGCCATTTTGTCAAATACTCGGGGAGGTTTATATAACCCCAAGAAAAGGCGAATATTCAGTCGAATGTCAAAGTTGATGTGTCTGAAAGCAGAACATTTGCCCGTGCATCTGTATCATTATTCTATTCACATCGGCCTTTTTTGGACTAGTGTATGGATGCACTAACTTAGTAGGTCGCGCATATTAGCACTGTCCTCGCCCACCCCAATGGTTCGTGTTGTTCGCCAACGCTTCCTACTGTTTAAAAGGCTCCTAGGAAGATTCAGTTGTGGTATGGTGTGAACGTTTGGAAAATGATTACTCAACAATCCGGTTTCCACGCTCTAACCTAAGCACAGCCCCAGAAGTTGTCGCCATTCGAATTTCTCACGCTATGCGGACTAACGGCTTCAAAACCTTATCTGACGCTAATCAGAGGCCTGATTGGCTTGTATACCGTGTTCATCGGTGAGATCTGTCATAGTAAATCAACAGTGTTGTTGATTGCTGATTGAATTGAGGTGGCGGAGAAACAAGCTCTGGTTCGAACACCTTACGTAGGCCAGCAGACCGATCGATATGAGGCGTCAGAACCTAACGGCGCTTCAGATCGTATAACTATGTGTCATGCATTGTTGATGGGGAGTTGGCCAAGTCAGGACCAGGACCGACTGTTGCTGGATGAGAACCAAGTGGTTAGATACCAACATTATTCCTGAGAGATACTGCTGTCGTGGATAGGTAATTTGTGTTTGTTGCGCAGTTATAGACTGAACGCTACTAGTATTCAGACAAGCGGTGACTCACAAACGGCCATCTGAGCGCTGTTCCAACCCAATGGGCAGCTGGCGTTAGCAATCGGCTCACTCACGAAATCCCGTGATCCACATGGAAAAGCAGAGTGGGAGAAAAAAGCTTCCTTGATGGCCTTCAATCGCCCGTTGGTGTTGTTAACAGTGTTGTGACAAAAACACTGAGCCATCAAATACTGTAAATAGGTGGCGATTCACTTAAATGAGGTTGCACTCAAAAATTTACTTGGCAGTTGTTCCGACACTGAAAACAATTCAAGTTGTTGACCTGACACTGGCGAGCCAGAAAATCGGTTGTAGTCATTTCAGTCTAGATCAAGCTTGAGAATGTGTACCTGGGAAGCTCAGTGTGGATCTGCTTGAAGAAAATCACATACAACTTTAAAAAGACCAAAACTATTTTTGAGGGTTCTCCAACGGCGTCGTATGGGGTATGGGCAGCGGTGGTCGAATATACGCGAGTTTTAGAAAATTAACATCTTGGAGTGGATACCTACAAGCGAGTGACCAATGTCGGAGACGACTGTGGCTATGACGAATAACATAAATCGAGATGGGCTCACATCATATCGGTTAGTCTCCCACGGCTCAGGCTCGATAGTGCGAAATTGACTACTCCACCAATATCATTTCAGAAGGGATGTGTTGCAACCGAGTTTGACGAAGTTCTAGTCGTTGGCCTGTCAGAGATGTTGTATATACACCTTGAGTGCCCCAATAAAGAAACGCGCAAACCATAAAGTAATGCGGAGGATCGGTTTCATCAAAGTGAAAATCAGTGGCTACGAGTGAATGGAAAATACCGCCTGCACCAAACGAGTGCGGCGTCGTCATGCTGTCAGATGGGTTTGGAACTGGCGTAGTGCAGTCATCTAAGAAGTGGTAAAACTTCAATAGATTGAAAACCAGCAAAAAATAATTTGCATGTTACAAGGCACAGAGAGTAGCATTAGCGCGGTCCCTGCAGCAAGAGTAAAAACTCGCGCAAATGAATATCGGTAAAACTGGGTGTCCCCTGGTTTTGATGTCTACATGCACCCATTTGTGCAAAATACGTGGTGAAATAGAGTATGCGCAATTTTCATGGTATAGGCGTGTCGGAGGAGTTCAGAGAGATTGTGTCAACTTTTGTATGCCAACAACAGTCTATAGCGCGGACGCTTTCAGTATGGCAAACGAGGAGTAGAAATAGAAGCGGGTAGTTCAAAATGGATTGCAGCTGCTATTCGTGTTGACCCCCGTATCGATGTGAATCACAAAACACCAGAGGGCGGTCAATAAGTAGTGCAAACCGGGGAAGAGACCAAAGGAAGAAGCACACTTACCCGGTTCAACTGAGTGGTTTCAGGTAGGTCTACTAAAATGGTGGAGGGAAAACGGAGCAAATCACCCACAGTTCGCAGGTGGGGCAAATCATAGTGAATAGATTTGGTCAAACATTCTTGTGCCTCGTCAAGTGATGGCGCATCTGACACCTGTTCGCACTCGTAGACAATGTGACGCACTTGATCTCGCCAGGTTGAAATGCGATTGGCCAAATCGTGGAACTCCGATGAATCCGGGATGAAAGAGTTCAGTTTGGAGACTAATCTAACCAGGCTGAAGAACTCGTCCAAGCGTAGCTGTGGAAGTTACGACATAAAGGAAAGGGATGCGGATAGTTCACGGTACAAAACCGAAGCATAGTCAATGACTAATGGGTGAGATTAAGGAAATTGAAGGTATAAACCAGCGGTAAAAATGTGGAAAAGCCTAATGTGGTGAAGATGTCCCATATGAATGTGGTCTACATACAATGTCCTTGTGTAATTCGTGCAACCACGGTGGCAAACTGCAAGGATGGAAGTACAGCCCGACAAAACAAAAATAAATATAGTTGTGCTGTTCAATGCAAGTACAGAAATTATGCCGCGTAGATTGTAGAACTACTGACTGTGAGGTGGTACACTAAACGGCGAAACAGTGGTGGGTGTAATTCAGAGGACAGACTGTATGCTAGTGCTATCGTACAACAGTATCTGGAATAGTCTTTGAGAGTTGTCACGGCAGGGGATGCCTGGTGGGTAGCAGAACGCAACTCGAGATATAACAAGAAGCTGTTCCGAGGAAAGAAGCGTACGTAAGTATGCAGATGATGTCAAGGTTTGCTTCGAGCCGTGCAAATTTCTGACAGCTAATGACTCACGTGAGCGGATATGCGAAAAAGACAGTCAATACAAACCGACAATACATAACTATGAAATCCATGGAATCAAAAACGGGCGCCTGGCCAGGCTTCGTATTTGTGATGGATGTTAGCAGTAGAGTAAAATCCAGAAAAGGACAATAGTGGTAATGCTCTATGTACGAGACAACAATGAGCCCAGTAGTGTTGCGAAGGTAGCCTAACGTTGGTTATAATGAAGAAGCTGACTCGGGGAACACTAACGGTGGGTGCCTGTTTCTTTAACAATGATCAACTTGTTATCGGAAATGGTTAGGCCCATCTGTTACCGGGCTCAGAATGAGTCGACGTAATGCAGTGAAGGATATTGAGGGTGTCGTAAGACGCAACAAGTCTTTCTCTAGAGTTAGATGGTGATGGATTGAAGACACTCGTTGCACCGTGAGATGCAGCAACGTTAAAATGAGGGGAACCAATTCGAAGAGAATCGTAGACAGCGATGGAAAGGTCCAAATTTAGAGATAGTAGAGAAAATAGCAGGCACGGTAGGTGAATGATGTACCATAATGAACTCATCGGAAAACCGCGAGGCAGGTTGTTGCCATTGTGAACCCAAAGCGGCTACTGGCTGACGACTAAGGGACATATGCTGAATATGATCAGATAAGGAGATCGGTAGTATGATAACTAGCTAAAAGTGCGGGAAACAAGCATGCAGAGATAGACATCCCTATATGGATTTAAAGCTGCCTGGAGATTGTGAATTAATAAAAAGACGGTGGTTGCAAAATGAACCGTAGTATGTTGACATCAAAACAAGACTGGGGAGACTAAAACGGCAGCTGAATCGTCTCCGAGGAAGTTAACCGCGAGGGTTTCCATAGGAATTGCATGGAGATGCGCTAATGTGCAGTGTAAATGGCTATGTGATGATACACTACTCTAAATTAGAGAGCGAAGATCTAGATCTCTCCAAGCAGCCGAGTGGAAATAAACGAAAATTAGCAAAAGTGCCCAAAAGGGGATTTACCTTCGATACAATCAAGCTTTCTGACTTTCGCTCATTGCTGGTGGCACCGACTATGGGTGGTGGAGATTGGACATTACATTTATTGCCCGGAGTTGTGTGAGCGGACTTGTATGGTGTAGAAAAAGCTGAGCCCCCAGGCGATTTTCTAGGGCTTGCAATCATGACGTCTGAAGCGGATCCGGTTGATACTTTCGATGGTTTGTGCTCCGTCAGATAACTATCATCTGAACAAGAGTCCGTGTGATCGTCGGAACCATCGGTATAAGAGTCAGAATCACTTAAAGAGCTAGTAGATCTGGTGTCGAGCACGTTGCAACGAGCACTGGGACAGCTTCGAGTTGGTGACAGCTCAGCATGAGAACTAGCACGGCGGTAGGCGCAAAGTAGACCTCGGACAACAGAAGAACATTCATCGACGACAGCCACGAAATGTTTGAGGCGATCTAGGTCGGAAGTTGGGTAGTTGCGAGACTTCCCGATGTTAAGTAACTCCTGTGGATAAAAACGCGTGGATAGATAAGGAGGACAGTTCTCTTCTGAGCTAGAACTAAACTCAGAGCAATGTAGATCGGGGATAGAAACAGTGTGGGTGCAAAACGGAGGTATGAAAAGCGACTGCAGTACTAAGGGAACGCTCAGTGGAAATCGTTAGTTCAATAACAACATAGAGCAGTCCGTGTTGGTGTGCAGGTGAGTTACACATAAAGTCGCAACCTAATAAATAAAAATAAATTCGCATATTTACCGACGGACGGTACACGGCCTAAGAAACCTAAGCGCAAGTTGGAGAGAACTTAAAGAGTCCGAAAAGCGAACATAGAAAGAAAGAATCATTTCATAGCCACCCGTAACCCGTTGGGAAAGTCAGGCTGACGGAAAGACATAGGAGCAAAGGAAGCAGCGAATTTTAGCAGCATGTATAATAAAAATAACAAGGTGTCAGTTGCATACCGTAACAGTGCTTCGCTGCCGCGTGAACACCACCCGTCGCGCATGTGCTGAGGATACCGCGAGGACGCCCGCCCCTACGCGGATTCGAACCTGTGACCTTATGACTACAAGCCAGGCATGCAGACCACTCGTGGTTGCCGTTCGCCAGTCCGGCATTCTCATTCCGCAGTGACGCGACGAAAAAGAATTAAAGTTAGCAATATTATCATCAGTGGCGTTGGGTCAATACCCCTGTGTTAAGCACAGTCAGTGCGACTGACCATCCTGTTCACTGACACGGGAATCCACAGTTCCGGAACCGAAATGCATTAATCCGTGCAGGCTTCTGCATGGACGCTTATACCAGCGCTCACCAGTGGACTGGGGGTAACCGAACTAACTGTTTTAGAAACACGAGTGTGAACAATGGGATCATAATAATGCGAACAGACAATAAGTGACCTGGTTGACTGGACCTTTCATTCAGACGGAAAGCAAATTTCGGATACCATCGTGGTAATGCACGGTGTACGATTTTATAATGCTTAAGGTGGAAGCCAAGCTACATGGACGATGGCTTCAGAAGTCCAGAAAGTTGAGAAGTAATCGATGGGACAAGAGCACAAATGACCACAATATTCAATGGAGCACGAAATGATGAATTTCCAAGAGAACAGTGAGCGCGCACTCGGCAGTACCCAGCATGGCCACACTACGGGTGATTGAATGTGCACATTTAAGTTGATCCAAAGGTATGATGGATCGATATGGCAACACGCGCTAAGACGTTGTGCCCACATTCTGTGTTAAATACAATCAAGGCGGATAAGTAGGTCACTGTAGAATGGTACGATACCAGTTTTGTGCCCGGAGAAGGCAGATTTTTCCGTGCACAATACCGACGCGATTCGCAGATGCGCTTCAAAAAAGGGGCGTTATATTCCAACTTATGTGCGATTCCAGGTAAAAGCAAACCACAAAAAACACTCTGTAGGAAGTCTATGGCCCGCACGACAAAGTGGCTATGGGAACACGGTACAATTTGTCTACTACACCAGGTGTACATACAGGTTCAGCTGAGGACCACTGCTATTTTGGAAAAATAGGGCTATGCGACAAACAACGGCCCGCAGTCACTTTAGCTAATCTAGAAGCAGACTGTAGATTCACGTTAAGTAGTCGAATTTTCTACAACGAACTACAACGTTCCCAATGGGCATTAGCGAAGGATTCGTCCTCGTGGTTCCGGGGAAATTTAACCCGAACAGTGACTGAGTTCAAAAATCAAACATACAGCAGAGTGAAAGAAGAAAAAGCACCATAGCACACAACAGTGATCTGATGTCAGCATGTGACAAATGTCGGTAGCATCAACAAAAGCCACTATGATATAACGCAGCCACAGATGCTGTCAGAATAATGCGGAAAGTAGCGATTAAACCACCGAATGAACAAGAACGACCACTAGGCTCTTAAATGTGACAAGAGGTTGATCATCGTCATCCACCTTATGGTCGTCATGATCATCATCATCGTCAACAACAACAGCAGTAGGGTAGGCATTTGAACTGATGCATCGCAGCCGTACAACCACCGTCACCCACTGAATAAAAAATAATGAGAAGAGAAAGGGGAAATGTCGTAAAACGTTAATGCCATAGTAAACACTCAAAATCAAGGCGTCTGCACTTCAGCAACAACATACCGTCAAAAACAACTGGCTACGTGTAAAGATAAGGCGATAGCGGAGACAGCTCCCTTGAGGCTTTCACTGCCACGCGTCGTGATCAGCCATTACGCCGCAAATAAATCAGCATCAAACACGCATTAAGCATTCAGTCCGACTAGACATCAGCAGACACGCCAATGGAGTCGACTGTGAACCATGTCCCGTGAAGTCTCAAGCCAAGCACAAGGCAGGTCAAGTGGACTCCAGTCTGGAAGGCTAGACGGGACGACGACGCCGAATTTGCTCGTCAGTGAGTTCGTTTCCTGCTGTCAAGTTAATCTTTGCCCACATCGGGCCTAGCAGCACTCTACATCTGACATCGCAATGAGGCTGGACCTTACCGTGGTGCGATGGTTTGTGTGCCTCAGCGATCCATTGAGCTATGCTGGGTGGTGCTTTTGCACCTTCAGAGCCACTCATACCAGATTGGTCAATGGTTAGAGGCCAGACAAACTCAGCCTCCTGGTCCTCAAGGTTGGGGGTTGAAATGAGGGTGGCACCTTATTCCTTAAAACGGACTCCTTGTAGCCCAACGCCAAACCCGCTGCCTTGCGGTCAGGTTTTTGAACCAAAGGCTTTGGTTGAGAACCCTAATCGTTCTCCTGTCTAGGCCTGGGCAACCTGACAGTATCCTGCCCACGCAATACCATGAATACTATCTCAAACAAATTTCTGACGCTCAGGCCACCGCACAGGATAATCAACGGTGCCCTATCTGCTGCATCGAGCAGGGTGGATAGGGGTTCGGATGCTACTGCTCAAGCCTTCCCGTCGTCTTATTCCCCATCTTACGCTTTTTCACTCTTACCGTCCCCTTCCAACTTCACTTATATCCCCCCAATTTTCAGCCCCCTGATTCTTGGCCCTCCCCCAACATGCTTTGCTAGGCATTTACCTTCTAATTTCAACTCACATGTGGACGCGGAGCGTCACTCCTCTGCTGTCGACAAGCCCATGTCCAACCAAGCGGTCCGTTCTAGTTCATCGGATTCCACTTGGAGCCCTCGATCCTCATTCAGACTGGCATGCCTCAATGTACGCACACTACTACAGATCGGTCAACAGGCAGCACTTGCCCGAACATTGGAGACCCTCTCGATCGATATCTGATGCTTATCAGAGACCCGCCTGCAAGACTCGAGCTCTGTGCTCAATGCGATACCCTTCAGGTGACACCAGCAGTATTTTTTCATGGCGCCTATCGGGTGACGATGCAGCTTCGAACACCGGCCAAGCTGGTGTTGGCATTGCCCTGAGTCCCCGGGCTGAAGCTGCTCTGACTGATTGGATTCCAATCAGTAGCCGGATGTGTGCGGTCCGATGGGCTGGCTCGTTTAAAGCTTCGAAGTCGCGCGGGGCTTATAGGTGTCTATTCATCATCGCTGCCTACGCGCCCACAAACTGTAGCGATGATTCGGTAAAGAACGACTTCTACCGCCAACTGACTTAGCTCCTTCGCCACAGAAGAAGCACGGACACTGTTGTGCTGGCTGGGGATATGAACGCACAAGTTGGAAAGTTGTCCACTGATGAAATGCATCTGGGCGGTCAGCACGGTGTAGGCTCCCGTAATGATAACGGTGAGCGGTAACTTCATTTGTGTGAAGATGCTCGCTTATTGCTTGCGAGCACTAATTTCCGACACAGCACTTGCAGGAGGGTGACTTGGCGCCCACCAGCCTCGAACCAGCCTTGGACGCAGATAGATCACATTGCTATTAGTTACCGCTGAAGAGGCTGCATCCAGAATTGTCGCGCGGTTTGGAGCAAAAGTGTGGACACCCATCATGCACTTGTATGTGCTGACGTGCGGATGTGCTTTGGCGGACGCCCACGATGACGCTGTGAGCGCATTGACACCAGCCAACTGACAAAGCCAGCTATTCTAAATGCGTACCAAAGTACCCTGACATGCGAGTTGAGCAATCGCTCACTGGAGACATATATATATATATATATATATATATATATATATATATATATATATATATATATATATATATATATATATATATATATTTGCAAAAGTCTGTTAACAGACATAATGCCATCAGAAACCATGGGATTCAAACGAAGGTACAGAAACAGTAAAATAAAACACAACACAACAATGTCCATGGTTTCCTCAGAGGGCGAGATACTACCCGGTTGCCCAAGCCGAAGTAGGGTGTTGACTTAGGGGGCACCACCCCGAGCCTTTGGCTTAATAGCCTGCCCGCAAGGCAGCGGAGCGAATTCATGGAATCGCGCCCATTGGGAGCCGGTGACTGATTGCTCAGTTCGTACGCCTTTCGTTTGTTCCTATGTCAAACAGGGGCCCAATGCTCCCTAGAAGTACAGCATAAGATTGCTGGAATACAATGCTTCGCCAGGATGAAGCAAGGGGCAGTGACTTTATTTAGTGGCGAGTCACGTCCGCCACGTCACAGTGTTGTTAAACGACATATGTGGCTTTTTATAGGGAGAACGCTTGCCAGGCGAAAACCCACCACGTCCTGGAGACAATTGATGGTCACTGGTCACATGTTCACCAGACCTTACTAGCAGCGGGCAAATCCTCATGTGGTATGTTTAAAAGCCAACATGGACATTGGGTCTCTTCTCGGCCTCTGGAACTTATCGACGCTCGCCGGCATATCCCGGCTGGAAGCGAGCACAATGAAACTCGCAAAGAGCTCCGGGCAAAACTCCGCGCTAGCCTGAAGAGAGACAGAGAAGCTTGGTCGTCTCATCGTGCGTCAGAGATGGAAATGGCCGCTGCCCTTGGCAACCATTCCGTCTGATACGAGAAACGGGCAGCAGAAGACTTGGTGTTAGTGAAACTATACGTGAC